AAGGAAGGAAGGAAGGAAGGAAGGAAGGAAGGAAGGAAGGAAGGAAGAAAGAAAGAAAGAAAGAAAGAAAGAAAGAAAGAAAGAAAGAAAGAAAGAAAGAAAGAAAGAAAGAAAGAAAGAAAAGTGGAAGGAGAAGAGAAAGTCAAGGAGGAAGAAGAGAAAGAGAAAAACAAAGAAGAAAAATGAAATGCCTCCTTGCGAGATAGACATCCTAAATCAGTTCTGCTTTCTGGAACTGCAATGCTCAAGAAAGGAAGGAGAAAAAACCCCAGATTAAACACTTTTGATCCCCAGTTTCTGAAGCTGTCAACTTTTCTGTATTACAAATAGTTCATGGCTTACAACATTCATTGCCTGATTGTTCGAAGTTTCAATGGCACGAAAAGAATGACCATCATATGCTGGTTGAAAGTCAGTTTCTTTGTTGATGGGTCCATTGGGTAGAGTGTCAGGCTAACAAAACATTCAGGAGGTAAACAGCCAGCTCGGAAAACAGACCCCTGCCAAAACCTATAACCCGAGCTACGAATATTTTCAACAATTTCTAACGTATTTCTGTCTTTGTGAAAATGAGAATATTAGCAACACCTTTCACGTTTAGGGGACTGGTGGCTAAAACATGAAGAACGTTGGCAGGAATTGGGTATGTTTAGTTGGATGAAAAGAAAGACTAAGGGTGACATGATAGCAGTGTTCCGATATCTCAGGGGTTGCCACAAAGAAGAGGGAGTCAAGCTATTCTCCAAAGCACCTGAAGGCAGGACAGGAAACAATGAGTAGAAACAAATGAAGGAGAGAAGCAATCTGGAATTAAGGAAAAAATTCCTGACAGAACTATTAATCAGTGGAACTGCTTGCCTCCAGAAGTTGTGGATGCTCCAACACTGGAATTTTTGAAGAAGAGATTGGATGACCATTTGTCTGAAATGCCATAGGGTTTCCTGCCTGAGGTGGGGGGTTGGACTAGAAGACCTCCAAGGTCCCTTCCAATTCTGTTATTCTAGTCTAGTCTAGTCTAGTCTAAGTTGGCCCAGACCAACTTTGAAGGGATATTTTTGGAAGGCAAACTTTTAATACCATTCCTGCATCAGCCTAAAGCTGAGCTTGTCAATATAAAAAAAAGGAAAGATAATTTTTCGCGTCATTTTTCCAATCAGAGGAATTATATCTGGCCTCCCACCCACCTCCAGTTTGACCCAGAAGCCAAAATTTCTTTGCTCCTGCTATCTTTCATCTAGTCACATCTCTGCCACTTAACTCCCTTTATTAAAAAGGCATAAGCTCACAGAAGCTTTTTAATAAGACCCTAAGCTCACCAAAGACAGGGACTTAGAAAAGCTGGTGCATTTTAATAAACTGGGTTAAGTCAGAAGAAGTATTGGATTCTTCCTGATTCAGGGCTACCATAGACTAACACAACGTCAATCTTCCTGCTCTGATATTTTTAGCACCGATCCAAGAAAGATTTCTCGGTGGGAAGACAATGAGTCAGTGCAGCATTTGGTAAAAGATGCCTAGGAGAAGGGCCAAACAGCACAACACAACAATACCAAAAACAAACACTCTTCTCTCTCCTGCTGATCTTTCTGAAGTCAGATGTTTCATTTCTCCAGGGCAGGGAAGCCGGTTAATCAGCTGCCAAAGACGGGATCTTACACACAAATGGAAATTCTCGATTGCAGCTATTGTCGTTCCAAGATCGTAGCGCTGTAAAAAGACACAAAAAAAGAAAGAAAAAGTAGGAGGGGAGAATCAGACAGGCTTCTACCAACACAGGGCTCCAACAGTTTAGTGCTTTGATTGTATTGATTAATAGATCGTCCATTCATGGATCATCTATCCATTATGGGTGATCACAGTGAAGGATGGCTTCCATTGATTGATCTCTGCAGGTTTGCAAAAATACATGTTGGTTTCTTTCTTTTTTTTTTTCAAGGGTTTCTTCTTTTTCTAGGTTTTTCACCTTCTTTTCAAGGTGTTTTCTTTTTCTATGTTTTTTTTTTTTTTGTATATCGAGCTCACCTATTATATTTTTAAAGAAAAAAGAATAAACGTGAAGTAAAAAAAAAAGGTAAAAAGCTCAGCTTAAACCTCCACCAGCCTGCAGCAGCCTATTTGCACACTGTGGTTGTGTCAAGACAGAAGCCTCTGATTTTCATGCCAGAGAAAGCTGGTTTGTAAACAAGGGACAGATGGTGGACCTTTTCAAGGCCAGGAGGAAAAAAAAAAATCATGTGTCTGTTGACTCAGGCAGGTGGAAGGTAGAGAATACAACCCAGGATTCAAAGTCCAGGTTTTAGGATTAACATAACTAAGGCTAAAGGGTTAGGGGTCCTTGCTGGCTATAGGGAACAACACTCATCTCCGTTTCAAGGCCCTTGAGCCAGTGCTGTCCAAAGACATTTCCGTGGTCATGTGACATCACGGGGCGCCTCTATCTTCCCACCAAAATGGTACCTATTTATCTACTCGCGTTTGCACGCTTTTGAACTGCTAAGTTGGCAGGAACTGCAGCGAGGAAGGCAGTTCACCCTGTTGTGTGGCGCTCGGGTCTCGAACATGGGCTGCCGGCTTTCCAGCCAATAAACCCAGCATCTTTAACCACTGAGCCACTGCGCCGCCCTAACATACCTAAAGATGCTTGGATATTATTCGATGGAGAAGTTCCTATACATGCAGCTTTCTACTTCTCATTGGTGATAAATGTACTTCTGTAACTTTCTCAAGCCCACTTAGTAGAATAACAGAGTTGTGAGGGACCTTGAAGGTCTTCTAGTCCAACCCCTTAGATCCTATTCTGTTTCAGACAAATGGTTATCCGCATCTCTTGCTAAAAACCTCCAGTGATGGAACACCCACAACTTGGGGAATGTGAATGGGGAAAGGGTCTCTCATTGCCTAGATATTTGACGTGCTGATGCTGGCAAGAATGACCCCTTGAGGGAGTGGAAAACAAGCGTGTTGCCTAACCTTTTCCAAGCTGGACACCTTCCAGATGTGTGAGCTTCTGCTCCCAGGATTGTCCACAATGCCCATTTTGGCTAGGGAACTGAAGTCCATCCAGCTGAAATTTGCCCAGGTTGAGGAATACAGAAGTAGATCGTTCCCACTTCCTTTCTTCTCTGTCATGCCCTTGTCGGAATCTGTTTCGGAGGGGGAGGCCAAACAGCTGACAGGGAGTGGGAGTGTGACTCCTTTGGCTGTGGAGGGAACTGGGGAAGGGCAAAGGCCAGCTGGGCAGAACAGGGGAGAGGTAGAGAAAGGCAGAGGGAATTCGGAGGAAGACCCAGGCCCACCCCCTCTTCATCCTAGGGCACACAGGGAGGAACAGAGAAGAGAGCAACGTGGGTTGCGTGACTTACAGGGGAGGAAAGGGCCCTGATTCCCTTGATTAGCTGCAGCTGGGAACACAGTGTTTTAAACAGGAAGCTGCGCACAGCCAATTGTTGAGAGCAAATCGTGAATTATCTGGTATTGTTGAGGCTTATCTGGGTTCCTGCCGTCATCCCAACTGCGTATGTGTTTTTCTGGGCTTTCAAATCTGCAATTCCTTCTCCTGCCCTCTCCAGTTAATTACTGCAGCGTGGTTTGTGTGGATTTTTATTTACAGTTTGTATGTACTTTGTTTTCAGATGGAATTTCCTCCCCTTAAAGACTGTTCTTGGGAGAGTTTTTTCTCCAGCTGAAGGTAACCTGGACATTGGGAGCAAAACTGGAGGTACTTCTTACTTATGTGACTGCGTTGCCTTTGTGCCATGCCCCGAGGTCATCACATTCTCTGTCCTCTTTCTAAAGCTTGAAGACCACAGCTCTGGACTGTCCTTGCTCCCACTCCTGGCTTCTTCCTGCCCAGGTGTTGCTGATGATGGCCGAGGGGTTTGAGTTAGGGAAGAAGGCACCTTGGAGAGGCACATGCCACCTACCACTGCTGTATCTGTACCAGATCTGGACGCAGTCTTCGTCCTCCGGTATAGTGTGGATCCCATCATCCGGTTGATTCCCATCCCAGTAGTTGTAGTCATAGGGAGAGCCATCTGTCCATTCGAAGTTGCTCTCCTGCCAAAGAAACCATCGTCATCAAGATAAAAGGGACAGTTTTTTCCCCCCGCATGTTATCACTCTGCTAAACGACTAATTCCCACAACACTGTCGACTGTATCCTTCTTCTGTATTCTTCTCATCCTTCCCATTTCTCCTTTTCTACTTACGACTGTAACCTTGTTGCTTGTATCTTTATGATTTATATAGTTTTGTTTAGTTTCCTGGTATGGTTTTGATTGCTTATTTAGTATCCCATGACTATCACTAAGTGTTGTATCTTAGGATTCTTGGTGAATGTTTTTTATGATGATTATCATGATTTATCATTTATAGCTTTTATGTACAGTGAGAGCTTATGCACCGAAGACAAATTCCTTGTGCGTCCAATCTCATTTGCCCAATAAAGAATTCTATTCTATTCTATTCTATTCTATTCTATTCTATTCCATATTCTATTCTATTCCATATTCCATATTCTATTCTTTTCCATTCCATTCTATTCCACCCCATATTTTCTGTTCTATTCTATTCTATTCTATTCTATTCTATTCTATTCTATTCTATTCTATTCCACTCCATATTTTCTATTCTATTCTATTCTATTCTATTCTATTCTATTCTATTCCATTCTATTTCACTCCATATTTTCTATTCTATTCTATTCTATTCTATTCTATTCTATTCTATTCTATTCTATTCTATTCCATTCTATTCCATATTCTATTCTTTTCCATTCCATTCTATTCCACTCCATATTTTCTGTTCTATTCTATTCCATTCTATTCCACTCCATATTTTCTATTCTATTCTATTCTATTCTATTCTATTCTATTCTATTCTATCCTATTCTATTCTAATATTCTAATGTAATCTAATCTAATCTTGGGGCAGAGAGGGGCAACTGATGGCCTGAGGGCTCTATGCAACTCCTCCAAAGGGAAAGGCGAGGCCGTTGTATTCCTGACACTTTAGAGCAGCGTTTCTCAATCTTGCTAACTTTAAATGGCTGGCTGGGAAATTCTGGGAATTAAAGCCCACACTTCTTCAAGCTGCCAAGGTGGAGAAACACGGATTTAGAGGGAAAAACACAAAAATGAATGCAAATGCCCCCTCCGCCCCATCCTCACAAGCTGTGAAACAACATTCTCTGAATGAGAGACAAGAGCCAAAATAAATTGGTTTCAATAAGGGAGAATATTTGTAGCTCAGGGGTGAAATGAGAGGAACTCGCTGCACTCTGAGCAGGGTTGCTTTCTTGCAGACGTTTCGTGACGCAACCAGGTAGCAACATCAGTTCATTTGGGTAATGAGATGCCTGCGAGAAAAACAACCAAGCTCAGAGAGCACCCAGGACCAAGAGGTGGTGAATTCAGCCGGTTCTGACCCGTTCTGGAGAACCAGTAGTGGAAATGTTGAGTAGTTCGGAGAACCGGCCAATCCCACCTCTGGCTGGCCCCGCCCCCATCTATTCTCCGCCTCCCGAGTCCCAACTGATCGGCTGGGTCTTCTTTGGTTGCCCTGCACAGGAGAACGGAGCTGGAAAGCAGGTTAGTGGGGTGGGGAGGAAATGGGGATTTTGCAGTATCCTTCCCCTGCCACGCCCACCAAGCCACACCCACAGAACCGGTAGTAAGAAATTTTGAATCCCACCCCTGCCCTTATAAATCGGTTTGAATACAAAAAGGTTTTAGGGTGGGGTCCCAATCTATGCTGGAAGACGGTGCTTGGATGCCCAGCATCTAAAACGGTGGCTCCTCTGAAAACAGCCGTGGATAACACCTCAAAGAGATGGAGGGAGGTTTGTTTTGTGGATGGTTATCTCCAGCTTGCCACTGAACCATCGTTTCCAGATTCAGCGTAGGAGGAAATTACAGACATACAAATTAGATTTCAGTCCCTGCTGCGATATTATGTCTGGACTCTGTATTTAATCACAGTCTTCAGACATTAATGCAAGAGGAGGTTGCAAACCCTCAAGCTAACTATTTTGACTCGCCGGGACAATGTCCCTCTGCTTTGCGAGCTAGAAGATGTGTGGACTTCAACTCCCAGAATTCCCCATGCTGGCTGGGGAATTCTGGGAGTTGAAGTCCACACATTTTAAAAGTTTCCAGAGTTGAGAAACGCTGCACTAACATGGCCAGGGAAAGCCGCTAGTATATAATGGGTCATTGTATATAAACAGAGAGCAAACCCTGCTCCTTTCTAACACTGATGACATCGCCTAGTTCGGTCATGAAACATTTCTGTAAGAAAACTACCAAGCTAAGAGAGCATCGAGGACCCCACCAAAAAATGGAGATTTCTTACCTGTCTAAGATCATTCAACCCCATCCAGATATCTGTGGGTATCCCAGGCACCCTGCTGTTTACAAGGTCGTAGACAAACACATTTTCTTCCCAGCTGCCAAATAGACACATTACAGGAAAGTGCATTATAGTTGATAAATTAGATGGATCAGTAGCATTAAACTGCAAATCTCTCTATATAAAAGAAAAATGCCACTCATGCATCATCACAAAATCTCCAGAACTGTAAAGCCTACAAACTTGAAATTTGGCACATCTGTTCCTCTTGGCTTCTAGGTGCTCACCAAGAAAGGATTTTTCAAAATGACCATCAGAGCATTTAGGATTTCCTATATTATTATTATTAACACGCTCTGATGCTAAGGAGTTCTACTCCCCCTCCCCACCTGAAAAGAAATCTCTTCCAAATGCAAAACACAAGCAGAGGAGTTTCAGTTTCAGTTTCAGTTTCACAGCACCAAGCAGCTTTAGTACAGAACAGTTGAGCCAAGCCACGCCTTGGCTCCTTGCTGTCTCCTTGCTCACACGGCAAATACTGTTTCAGTTTCCAAACAGCCCTCAACTCTCTCACACACTGACAGGACGCTAGCCAGATGAATACTGATGGAGGCTGGTAGGCAGAGATAGAATTTTCCCCCCCCTTATTTTCCTCCCCCAAAACTAAGTCCAATCACATAGTTTCGTAGCGAAGCATGGGTATCCAGCTAGTTCACCAATAAGTCAAAAACATTATTCATTTAACCGGTTCAGTCTTCTAGTCCTTAACGATCATAAGGATACCTAAAGATGCTGCTCCATATATAGACATCAAAAAGTGAATTTAGTGGAGATACTGTCATTCTGTAAGGTCTAGCCACAAATAAGTTGAGGACTACCTGTAATCCGCCTTACAAACGGTGAGCAGGAAACGCAGATAGTAAGAGGCCCACTCGATGGTTCTTACCTGTGAATAGATGCTAATTTGGCCGATTTCAATCCGATAGAAAACTCTGCGCAATACAGGTCGGCCTCCGCCCAAGTTTTATTAACCGGGAAATATCGGTAACAGTGGCCTTCATATTCGGTCCAGAAGAGAGGGCAGGAATAAGACAGGATGGACTCTGGCAACGCTTGGGACAAAAGATGGAAGAGTTTTTCAAGGCACGTCTTTGTTATCGTTCTTTCACCTGCCTGAGGTTTTTAGATTTCTTTGAGCAACTTGTCCATCGATACTGGGAGATGCCAATATGGCTTGGGCTCAGGGGTGCGACTCAAATTTCTTAACAACCGGTTCTGTGGGCGTGCCCTAATTTGTGGGTGTGGCTCGGTGGTCATGTGACTGGGTAGGCGTGGCTTGCTGACTGGGCGTGACTTGGTGGTCATGTGACTGGCAGGGCATGGCTTGTATGTAAATATTGTAAATATTTATGTCAATATTGAATTTTTTTTATTTAAAGAAAGAGCAACTTTTACCCCAAAGGAGGCAAAGCAGGCAGGCAGATTGAGTCGCTTGCAGAATCACAGAGTCACTCGCAGATCTACCTTTCTGCAATCTGCTGCCTGAGTCTGCCCTGAAAAATAGAAGCTTCAGTCCTAAGGAAGGTTCAGCTCTGCTCTCAGGCCAGTGGTGCGAATTGCCGGTTCTCCGAACTGTGCAGAATCGTAACAACCGGTTCTATAGAACTGGTCCAAACCGTTAGAATCCCACCCCCTGCTTGGGCTCATCCTACCTCTTGTCAGCTTCGCAGAGCGAAGCGGACAGAAATCACAACCTGGTGAGCTGATTCTATTTTGATTGCAAAGCTGCATTGGCAGAATATTTTCATTTTGAACTAATGAACAGAGTACCGAGGTACCACTGTATATAGATGATAGTATGTGTATATTACCTATGTACACAAACACGTAAACACGCACACACACAAAACACAGGGATTTTAGACTTTTCTTATGTAGCCAAGGGCCACAATAATTCTTCTATGCCCTGATGAATTATCATTTAGAATGGCTTTAATGGATTTATCACGATGGACTGTTGCAATCCGGCGTTATGAGAGACCAAAGTAGAAAAGCAAAAAAAAAAAAAAAGGTATTTTGAACAATTTGATCAAAATCTGGAGGAGGGGGTTTGTTTTATGATAGTTTTCCAAGCCTTCCCCCTCTTCCTCACTCTCTTTTAAAGTTCATAATGATGCCGTAATTAGCAGTAGCTTACATCTACTATTTTTCCTGCGAGTTTTATGTACCTATATGTGGTGGCGCAGTGGTTAAAGTGCAGCATTACAACCTAATTCTGCCCACTGCCAAGAATTCGATCCTGACCGGCTCATGGTTGACTCAGCCTTCCGTCCTTCTGAGGTCGATAAAATGGGGACCCAGATTGCTGGGGGCGATAGGCTGACTCTGTAAGCCGCTGCAAAGCACTGTGAAGCGGCATATAAGTGCTATTGTGATGTACGTATACGGTAGGTAGTTGAAAGTGCTAAATACACTTGCTATCAATGTGGAGACTGCAAAGGTCAAGAAGTCATTCTCTCTCTCAAACCCCAAACCCGTGTTGCCAGATAGGACAAGGGCCAGCTGTTGAGCCTACACATCCGACCAATTACAGAGAGGACACGTAAAGGAGATTGCAGGAGGATACCCAAGTTAAAAATTCCCCACTCCACCGATTAGATAAAGTTGCCCCTTGCGAGATAAAATGCACCAGCCATTTTCCAAGCTCATTTGTTTCATGATGGACAGAGTTTAGTGGTTGAAACCAACTTGGAAAGCAGAATTTCTAAATTCTCCAGGCTCTTCCAAGGCTGGGAAAGCCCCGTGTTACTGAGCAGCACTGAGGATCCTAAATGGGCTGAGATGGGATTTGGTCAGGCTAGGATAGCTTCCATTTTTTTAAAAAAAAATCTCAAGCAGCCAAGCACTGAGTTCAAATCCTAATCAGGGGTTTTCTAAGCCGTTTTATCTCGTCCATCCCCTTGGCATTCCTCTCCAAAAAGCACCTCCTCAGACTCCAAGCTGGAATGCAAAGGAGAGTCATCTGAATGGGTTGGCCTTCTGATTTTCAAGCCCCAGTTACCCCAGCAGGTAAGGCTAATTCGATTAACTCCGGTGTGCAAAAGGTGACTCGCCAGGAATTTCAGGGCTGGATGTGCCAGAAGTGAAAAAAGCAAGCGGGCCGGTCTCTAATTAGCACCTGTCTGGTTAAATCGTCAATGGTCTTTAGATAAGCAACCATCAAGCTTTGAACTCAAGAGGGGAGGATAATGAAAAAGGATGGATCTGCCCTTGGACCAATTTGCTGGTGGACCCTGAAAAAGTTGAGAGGAAGGGAAGGGAAGGGAAGGAGAGGAAAAGAGAAGAGGCAGAGGGAAGAGAAGAGAAGAAGAGAAGAGACAGAGAGAGAAGAGACAGAGGGAAGGGGAGGGGAAGGGAGGGAAGAGACAGAGGGAAGGGAAAAAGAGAAGGGAAGGGACCATAAAGGCCGGGTGCTTAAAATGGAAGAATCAGCAGCAGTGGAATCTTCCACAGGGATGTATTGGGAAATTATTCAGGATTTTTCTTCTGTGTAGACCCCAAGCAGATCCAACTCTATTTCAAGCTCCATCTTTCTCTCCTTGGCTTTGCTACGCACTCTAAATTTAGCCTAATTCTCTTCTGTTTACGGAGAGTTACCCTGATAGGCCCTGAGCTTCTTTAGACAACACATTTCCAACATTCCATTGGGTTGGAAAGAATAAAATGAAGCCAGACATCCAGACACAATTCGTTAAGTCAAGTCCACGAATTGCTCCACCACGGTGCAAACAACAGAAATTCTGTCGCTGCATACCAGCTAAAATAGTAAGGGTTGGGGAAAGGGTGCCTTTTTCCAACCCACCTTAGAAAAAAAATAATTAAAAAAAATAGTTCTGCTGTCTGCCAATAACAAGTACATCAATTAAGACATTCACTAGCTGGCATGCCCTAAAATCTCATCTCTTCTTCATGGCCTCTGCTTCAGTCTTTTCCTTCTGTTCAGCATCCAGACTCACCCTCTGTCTGCTAATCCTGATCCCCAACATCTTGAGTGGCTGAATGCACACATCAGAATAACTCATTGTTCATTAAATCAACTCCAGTTGGCTGAGTTCACACAATTTGTGCACCATTATGTCTTGCTGGACAGGAGCAGGTTCAGCTAAGGTGGTACTCCAGTGGGTACTCAACTACACACACACACACACACACACACACACACACACACACACACATTCCTTTAATTCCGCTGTTTTCCAACAACAGGTTTGTATTCTTCTAATGCAGAACTTTCATCATTGCAATCAAAAGATCATCTGAGTCAAGTTTGACTCCTGCATCCACCCAGTATTAGGAAATGCAATTTAAAAATTTTATGTGGGAATATGCTTGGAGATACTGTTTTATGGATTAGATCCAACCTTGGTGACTTTAAGACTTGTGGACTTCTACTCTTCCATATGCTGGCTGGAGAATTCTGGGAGTAGAAGTTCACAGGTCTTCAAGTGGACAACATTAGATGTACCACATAATTATAGAAACGATTACATTGCTAGGAAAAAAGGGGTACAAAATCTGGACACGGTTTGGAAGATGTCAAATTTGTCTACTACATGTTTTTCCCTTCGATACATCAACTCTTTGAATTGATTGACCCCAAGCTTCTAAATGCACCCAAAATCTTCGAAATAAGTCCCAGAATTGTTATTTAGGCTTCAAAGCAATCTTCCCCAAGCAAAGCCATAAAAAAATACAAGAAACTACTCAAGAATAAATATGAAAAATAATCACACAGAAAAAAAAGTCTTCACAAAATACATTTAACCGGGTTGGTTAAATAGCTGTCCGCTGCATTCACCCAAACTTGATCCGTTTTGCCGTTGGTTAAGTTTTTCTACAACGCGTTGTTATACATACCTATCTCTTTGGTTAATTTATTTTGCAATTTACTTTGCAACCCTAGAATTTAACTCAGCAGGAAAGCTACCACAATGGATTTGATCAATCCATGCTCTTTTAACACTAAGGAGAGGTGCGATATTTCAACATATTCAACATTTCTATTAAAGCAGACATTTCTCAAGACAGAGGAAACCTATTAGCAAAGTCACCGTTAACCTGTAAGTAAAAACTGGAAACCAATTGCAAAGAAAACACCCTGTAACCCATGTATACTTTGATCCGTTTTGCAGCCAACCGCTGAAATAGTCACCTTGCATTAACTTCCCCCTCAAAGCATTTAGGGTTGCCCTGATTCGAATTGGTTGAATCAAAAATGTCAACTCACCTTGGCTTATTTTAATATTGGTGTGCGGGAATGTATGGGCTGCAAGGAAGGCGGCAGACAAAGCTGCCCAGAAATTCCACCCGTAGATCATCGATGACCTGAAGGGCATCTCTTTGTCTCTCTCTCTCCCCAGACCCGCAGAAGGCTAACTGTCCAGCCCCTTCCTTCACCTCCCTGGGAGTTTTCAAATGCCACTGAAACTCCTGGAGAAGCTACAGTCCTGTTCCCCCCTCAGCAAGAGCAAAATTACTTAACAAGATGCACCACCCAACATCCTCACTCCATCAAATTACTCATAGTTTCCCCTCCTCTTCCTCTCTCTCCCTCCTTCCCTCCTTCCCAACTCTGTTATTCTATGCTATATCCCTCCCTCCCTCTCTCCCCCCCCCTCTCTCTCTCTCTCTCACACACACACACACACACACACAAACTCCTAATGAACACAGTCAGATTGTTCCAAATATGTTGGAGCTAAGCTAAAGAACTCACCCAAGGAGCTATCCTATGATTTGCTTATACATACATGGTTACATACATACACGCAAACATATATACATACAATTTTAATAAGGTAGAACAATATAAATGGGGGGGGGAACCAAAGTAAAGAATAATGAATTGAAAAAGAGATGAGAAAGAAAAGAGAGAGGAAGGAAGGAAGGAAGGAAGGAAGGAAGGAAGGAAGGAAGGAAGGAAGGAAGGAAGGAAGGAAGGAAGAAAGAAAAGAAGAAAGGGAAAAAGAAAAAGAAAAGAGAGAGAAAAGAGAAAGAAAAAGAAAAATATATAAAGAAGATCTTCTAATCATTTCACATTTTACCTTCTCTGTTAAATCACAACTTCCATCTTCCATAAACTCCCTTTTCTAATCATCAAACCCATAAATCACAAATTCATGATGTGTAACCTCTGAGCACTCATCATATGTAAAAATAGTCTTCCGTGACTGTTTCGAGTTGTCTTTCCATTAATCCCAACAAGAAAAGTTCTGGTTTCAATTGACACTTAATCTTTAACATTCTTGGTGGTAGCAGGGTCTGTCTCTGTACACAAAATTCTCTGGCTTTTTTTTTTTTTAAAAAAAAACAAAACTCCACCAGACATTTACAAGGGCAGGCTGGAAGATGCGAAGTTAACGACTTACAGAACTGGATGTGAAAAAAACAATTGGATTGAATATTTATTTCATTTCTTTATTCAGCTGACATTCTGTCTTCCTCCAGGAACAAACCCAGCATCCATAACTCACATTATCCCTCACAAGGTCACATTTCCTATAGTTGTGGACCAATGTTTTATGCCCAAACCTGTTGAAATGACTTCAAATTGTGCAAAAGCATATTTTCTTTGGGTAACGACAAACAAACTTATTACCCGTATAAATAGGGACATTTAAATCGATTAGCCCAAAACATCTTTCCAGATAAATCATGATGAGTTTGGAGCTGTGTTTATTTAAACTTTTTCAAATGACAGTGCTAAAGCAACAGATGTCTTTCTGTAACATGGTCTCCTGATATTTCTCTGGTTTCACTTTTAGTTAACCTGTTCTCTCCACTGTATTCTTTGCAGCCATAAGTTACACTTCTATACCAAAAGCTTGCTGGGGATTAAGATACAATACAGGCAGTCCTTGACTGATAACCATTTATTTAGTGACCATTCGAAGTTAAAAGGCTTTGGAAAATGTGGTTTACAACTGGTCCTTGGACTTATGAGCCTCGGTGGTGCAGTGGTTAGAACGCAGTACTGCAGGCTATTTCTGCTGACTGCTGGCTGCCTGCAATTTTGCAGTTCAAATCTCACCAGGCTCAAGGTTGACTCTTCCTTCCCTCCTTCCGAGGTGGGTAAAACGAGGACCCAGATTGTTAGAGGCAAGAGGCTGACTCTGTAAACCACTTAGAGAGGGCTGGAAAGCAGCATGAAGCAGTATATAAGTCTGCTATTGCTTGCAAAGGAAAGGAAAGGAAGCAAGCAAGCTGTGGTGGCACAGTGGTTAGAATGCAGAATTTCAGACTGACTCTGCCCACTGCCAGGAGTTCGATCCTGACCGGCTCCAGGTTGACTCAGCCCTTCCATCCTTCCAAGGATGGTAAAATGAGGACACAGATTGTTGAGGGCAAACAGGCTGACTCTATAAAATGAGGACTGTAAAGCACTATCAAGGGGGTGTATAAGTCTAAGTGCTATTGCTATTATGACCAATGCAGCACGCGCATAGCCAGGGGATCAAAATTTGGGTGCTCAGAATTGGAATCTATTTATGGTGATTTCAGCATCCCGACATCGGGGGAATCACCATTTGTGACCTTCCCAGGCAGCTGCCGTGAAGCGAAGTCAACGGGAAAGCTGGATTCACTGAATGACCATATAATTCACTTAATAACTGTATTGAAGCTGGCCTGGCCAAAGCCATTTTGAGGCTTCAATGTTGCCACACTTGGAGCTGAGGGATAGGGAAGGGGGACGTGAGAGAGCTGGGGTTTTGTAGCCAAAACAAAATACTTTTTCCTGGGAACCTAGGACATTTCCACAGGATGGAGGAGGAGTGAAGTTACCAGGTAACCAGACAACACCTTGATTGGACCATGTGACTGATTGTTTGGGAAAGGGGGAAAACTTTTACTTTTAATTAGGTGAAAATCACAGGAACATCCAGAGTCAGTTTTCACCAGCCTGTGCCAAGTGTTGTGGTTCGCCAGCAGCCTGTGGAGACGGTAGCAGAATTGGATGGTGGGGAAGAACAGGGGCCCGTCCGGGAGTCTGGGGAAGGGTCCTGCATCCAATACAGAGATGGGGCCAGGACCATCTGGGAGTTGGGTGCTGACTCCGGAGCCTTTGGAGTCTGGCAGCAGCGAGGCAGAGGAACAAGGGGAGCCTGTTCCCAGTGCATATGTGCGCAGAGCTGCTAGAAGGCAAGAGAAGATGAGACAAAAGGCGCGACTCGGAAGTAAGGCTTGGAGGTGATTGTCCCTCCCATAAGGTATAAAGGAAGTGCAAAGGTAAGAAAACCTTTGCAGGAAGCAACATCGTTTGCTCTGATTGGTTTGGGCTCTGAAAGTTCCGTGGTGAATTTGTTCTCTGCTTTTGGAAAGACTAATTGGGATTTTAGTCATTGGCAGCACTTCAAGTCAGATAAGGTGCATAAAACGTCTCTCGAAGAACCTTGGCAGACGTCCCTGGGACTAATTATAACTGGTTAAGACTCATTCAGGGCTGAAAAAGGGGATAATTCATAGCCGTTGAACTGAAATAAAAATGTTTTGGATTTTGTGTGTGTGTTGGTGTCTCAGGAGGCCTTGGTCAGAACACCAATCTGATATGTCCAATAAAACTATTATTTGAGGAACCTACCTGACTCGGAGTTCTGTTTGCTATGGACATACTACTTGGAACCCTGACATTTTAACAACCTTGTGGGGGGAAATGATGTAAAATCAGATGTGACTCACTTAGCAATGGAAAATTCTGGTCCCAACTGAGGTTGTAAGTCAAGGACTACCTGTAGATCCAAAGAAGGGGGGGGGAATCACAAAGTAGAATTAGAATGTGATATGATGGCCAAACTCACACCAAATGGACCATTTACATCTCTCTGTAATGGGGTGGAATCTCCTCCTTTTGCTCAAATTTTGCTCCTAGAACTTCAGCTTGTCAAGAGGCCAGCTTAAATTCCTTGTTTGGTTCATAGTAAAATTGGTACATTTCTCAATAATTAAATTAGCCAGAATATTCCCACATAAAATTCAAAGCTTGACATAATAAGACCATCTCAGTCCACACGGTTGCCACAGATGTTCATAAGACATAAAATTCTTCTATGTATTTTTGTACAGTATCTTCTAATGGTTGTCAGATTCTAGCGTGACTGTGCCAAAATAAAAAAAAAATGCAATTCCCCCATGTCAATAACATTCAGATCTCCAACTGGAATGAAGGTGGACTGTCATGGCCCTCATAAAGCCTGATAATTCTTCTGCTGCTTCTACAGATGTTTTAGGAAGACAGCCAAGAAGCAGGATAAACCAGAAATGTGCTTGACTCATGTGTTATATACTCCATCTGTTAAAAACTACAAATTGTTGTTGAAACAGATTCGAAAGAAATCTGAATTTTGTATCAAGCTAGCATTTGAAAAGCTGGCTATGTTTGGCATCAAAAGATGGCCATTGATTATAGATCAATAGATATCTTTTCATTCTTCATATTTCTATACCACCCATCTTACATGACTCTGGGTGGTTTACGGTGGAAAAAATTATTATTCGATTATAAGAGAATTAGAGTGACTTAAGAACAAGGCTGTTTTGAATCTGCAAAATCCGAGAAGCAGAACTGGTTCATCACACAAGAACAGGAAGAGTTGTGAGGATTTTGATTTTCAAGGGCAGCAATGACAAAAGGCAAAGCAAGATGTGGAATGTAGTCTGGATTTCCAGGAGGAAAAGACTGCATTCCAGATGACCAGGAGACAGCAAAGTTTAAATAGTTGGGAGTTGGGAGGAAGAGAGTTGAGACAGCTCTTTCCTAGTAATTCTCAGAGAATAGCTGCCATTATACAAATAGCTGATTTAGTCTGGCAAGATTCTGTCTACAGAACAATAAACTACTCTTAAGTAACTCCATGTTGTTCTTGATTCTTGGGGAGCCCAACACTAGTAGGCTTGTCATTGTGGCTCGAAACTTCAGAATAAGCCACCTTCATCAGCAGGTGATGAAGGTTTTATAGTTCAAGGGCAGATCCCATGAAGTGAATCTGGAGGTCTTGAGAGTTCAATCCTCAACTAATCTAAGTATGGTTGGAGACATTATGCCTTGAATATCTTACGAGAAACTCCAAATCAACATTATTGAGGTGGATGGATCATTGGCTTTTCTCATTATAAAAGCACCCGATGGGAGATAGCTATACCAGGAAGTGGCCCCGGAGATGAGCTCAGCCATAAAACGAATCACAGCCTCTGAAGACCTGTTACCATTATCTGCTCTTATGTAAGAGATGACCAGGCTGAGTTTGAGGGAGAGGTCAAGTGTGTCATCAGTCACGAGTCCCTTCACGAGTCACCCACCAAAAGTCTACGTCCAGCCCTCCTTGAACTCCATTGATTCTTAGCT